ATAATAATTATAAAACAAAGAAACTGTTTGACTAGGTTAAAAGAAAGCATATAGAATGTAGGATTTTCCAATTAAGGGGAAAACAGTTATTGCAGTTATCGAAATTATATTTCCCATATGACTAGCGAACTCTGTTGGAGGGCTTTCAAACTATATCACTAAGGGTGCAAATAGAATGAACAATATGAGAACCAATGGGAACACGGCAAGAAACCAAAGGGTACTCTCAGCGAATCGCTGAAAGCTAAGAGGGTTGGAGATCCTCGATTCTAGCAAGCCGGGTACGGAGGGGAGCCAATGGGCTTCTAAAGTGGTACCCAGAGGGTAATTCCTTTCGCCTATTTAAGCACATGTAGAGGCCACATAACTTCAGTTATCGCTAATTCGCAACTAGTTTTTACTACGAGTGATCGCTGGAAATTTAAGTCGCAAAGTTTCAACGAGTTCTCGATCCGTTTCTCATCATCTAGTTCTGCCGCCCTGTGTTTTAGTAGAAGTTCTCCAAAGAGGTGATAGTTGTTATTTTTTTTAATTTCAATTCCAATAAAGAATCAGATTTGGGAACTAAACCTTTTAATTGGGAAATTACTCTTTGCTTTCAATTGTCTTTAATTTTCTTCAGTTAAAAATTAATTATGGTCTTAAATAAGGTAATTTTTTTTTTGTTCTTTTTTTATATTTTACTTAACCTTTTTTTTTATTATCACTAAATAATTAACACTGACTTTTCTTTTCGCTTATAAATAAATTAGTTTAATCTTTCAAAATTACTCTTTTCTTTTCTGGTTTTAAAATTCCCTCTAAAACACTGGTGGACGCGTAAAAAGTTCTTTCGTGCCGGTTTGTGCATTTGAGAAGAGAAGCAACATTGGCAATAAAAAGGTAAGTCTTCTTGAATTTATAACCCTTTGCACTAACCAAAACCGAAGAAGAAGAGAAATAAGGTTTTGTTTGGATTGCCTCCGGTTCAGAAAATTTGGTATCCCTTTTCAGAATAAATTTAATTACAACATAATTATGGTACCCACGCAAACTAAGATGTGACAGAATTATTCACGCTACCAAAATGTTTATTCTTCGTAACATCTCAAATTTTGTCACATAACTAATTGGTGTGCAGCTTAAGGGATTTGAGATTTTCTTTTCCTTCAAAAACTCTTCATATTTCCATCAAATTTTCAATTTATTTTCCATATTACCGATATTGATTTTGACGAAATTAATTTATTTTTAAATACCTAATTTCACGGAAATAGATAAGCATTATTATTTTTATTTTAAAGAAATCTTGAACAATTTAGGATCTTAGAGAGTTTATCTTGTCGAGATGACCATGAGATCAAAGAAGTCATTTGATAGATCGAATTATGCGAAAAGGGTTTTTCTAATTATGATAAGGGTTGAATCGGTACGTTTTAAAAAGAAAGTAAAAAAAAAATAATAAAGAAAATAAGATAAAAGAAAGAATCGGAGGCACCCAGGAAGATGAAGAATTCAAGAACGACGTTGCATATTTGTTTAGTTACTAACATGGTTTTATTTTTGTTGTGAATTTTATGTTATTGTTATTGTTTATAAAGAAAAAAATTATTAGGTAAAGGTAATTGGTGATCACAACAGGAATGAATCAGTTGTGGTGAAACTAACATTTTATTGGTGATAACTCCCTTGACGTGATTTGTGCATTTTCGCGTCATTGTATAATGTACAGAATGTAACTAGGTATATTGCGATATTTGCTTAGTATAGGATGGTAATAATAATTATTATTTTCTTTCAGGAAAATTTATCGGTAGGTGAAGTTATTAGTTATATGTTTACTTATTTATATTATTATGATTTACTTTATTTTTCTTTTGGGGTGTAAATATTATCAATTTATGAGTTAATTTCTGAGTTGACTTAAATTTGGTGATTTATAGCGTTATCAAGAAAATTAGCTGATTCAATGTTCTCTTTCAAAATTTTGAAGATGATTCCAAATTGTTTCCATTGGTTTGCTGACCGTCGTTTAGTTTTGTCTTTTTGCGTATGTAAGAAGCACAATGGTTATTAATTGCAGTTTTGCGATTATTTGAAGTTTGTTAAATTTTTGGAATTAAAAATATGGTCAATCTTCTGGCACGTTTTATTATTGAGCATATTTTGGAAACAAATTTTACAGTCTGTGTCTATGTCTATGTTGACAATGTGAAATTTTACAACTGTGTCATCTAACAGTTTTAATATTGATTTTGATGTTTCAGTTGATACTAATATTCACATTCTTTGTTTTAATAACTCATAATCGTAGGTATAGTTGGGATTTTATTTTAGTTTCGAAGAATTAGGTCGTTTAATCATTAAAAAAAAAATATAATATTATCTATAAGGTAGGTACAGTAGTAAAAAAAGCAATATCACAATGGGTTATATAAATGCACAATAAATTTAGGAAGGAATCACTGTAACTATTATTTTGGGTAGTATTGTTGCGTCAAGTTCGGTTAGTTAACCCTTAGAGAGGTGTATTTATAGGTATTTAACCAGATTTACCTTTTATTTTATAGTACGGTTATTGCTTGAACTTGACTAACTAAAACAACGCTAAAAGTAAAGGGATTTCTGATCGTTATTCATTTTGAATAAGTCAAGATAAGTTTTAATTTTAGGAAAGTGGTGATCGCGGATCTCACTACATGAAAAGCAGATAAGTTGTGAAAAGAAGCAACAAGGAGTTACTTATTGGGTACCTATAAATAATAATTTTCTGAGGAAAATTCTAGGAAAAATAAAATTAATATTTTATTTTTGGAAAAAAAAAGGTAAAACCTAAGCTATTTACCGTTATTCTAATTACTAGGCACTAGAAAATTAGGAATAGAAATTGAGTACGTTCGAGTCGGTCTAGCGATATATAGAGTTCAAATAAAACGAGCGGCCGAGTTTCGCCGAATTGGGCGTATAGGGTTTTCTAATCCACGTAGAAAAAGAGTACTAAAGTAAGTTGTTAAGGACGTATTATCGGAGGTATTTATTGAGTTAAGAGGTTGAATATTAGTTAGTTTTGTGTGTGTGCCCGCGTGTGAGTAAATCCCGAACCAATCCTTTCGCATTATTGTCGAGAAACTTAACCAAAATATTTTAAATCGCTTAATTTTTTTTTTATATATTTATTGACTCAAGAAATAACTTAATTTTACTTTATAAAAAAAAAAACATGCCGAACGAGCACGAAAACTGTAATTCACCAAAAGAAAATTCGGAAAGCATCACAGAGGCCTTACGAGACCAGCTCGAAAATATGAGATTGCAACTTGAGGAACAAACAAAATTAAACATACTCCATTCAATTCAACAATTTAAAGATTCAGACGGAAAATCCCATGAGGCTAGCGCTGGACATATAAATCTAAATGATTTACAAGCAATTCGAGAGATTTTACGCAAAGATGAAGATATTTTGGAATCGATTGATCCTTATGTGGGAGCTAATGATTATGAAGCTTTTATAGAAGCCATTGAGAATGCCGCTACGATTAAAGGATGGACCGAAGAAGAAACATTTCGTACCATGGTGAAAAAATTGAAAGGAAAAGCAAAAGAAGAGTTTTACGCATTGAGGAAAAGTGAACGTCCGGAAAACGTATACGAAATAAGTACGTGGCTACGCAGACTATTTGGAGGAAAAACTGAACAAATTCAAGCTAAACGAAAACTCTTGACCAGTGTCAGGTTACCTGATGAATCGTTGGGTGCATTCGTCCAGAGACTTAGGAGAGTTTCTACAGAAGCTTTTCCAGACGAAGGAACTAGTCAATCACAACGGATATACAGAGAAAAGGTTTTAGTTGAACAATTCATACAGGGAATAGATTTGCGTCTGGCAAACAAAATAATAGAGAAGGGAGATTTTTACACAGTAGAAGAGGTACTGGCCGTAGCCGAAAAGTACGAGAACTCTATTTCAAAACAATTACCAGGAAACCTTTACGAAGATCGATATGCAGCCGCAATACGGGTTATAAATGAAGAGGCAACTAAAGGAGCTGTACCCAAAGACTGCAGCGAAAGAAAACAGGAAACTAGAACCCCGTATAACTCCTATAATAAGCAACAAACTCAAAATGGTAATAACTTTCGGAGTAGGAACTTTTACCCTCAGAGAAATAATAATTTCAACCAGAAACCAAACCGGTATCAAAACCCACAAGGCAATCAAAGGAATGCAGGATGTTATAAATGCGGTGATAGCAACCATTTGGCTGTTGGATGCCTAAAAGACAAGTTTCCGAGTCGTGAAAACGTTAGAAAGTGCTATAACTGCGGAAAGCCTGGTCATTTACGTGCACAGTGTTATTTAAACTATCAGGGAGCCTCGGACCAATCGAACAAATAATAGTTCCTCAGCGACAGACACAAATCATACTTGCTATTAACACCGAAAATGCAAAATTTCTTTTATTAAATGTTGAAGATGGACCAAAAATGTCTTTTCTGCTCGATAGTGGAGCGTCTGTTTCACTTATAAAAAAAAATTCTGCTCAAAAATTAGGATTATTGAATGTAAATAGGAAACCTATAAATATAAGAGACATTTCGGGACAAGTTTTAGAAAATTTTGGAAGCACTGAAATTAAGTTTATTTTAAGCAGTTTAGGGAGTAAGCAAACAATAATTGGCCACAATTTTATTATTTGTGGAAATGAGTTAAGTTTTTCGACAGATGGATTATTGGGTATGGATTTTTTAGAGAATTATCAACCAGTGATCGATTTTAATGCGAATGAAATGAATATGTGTGGTTATAGATTGGCCTTGTTAAATGAACTTTTAGAACGACGTCACAGTGCGGCTGTACAGAGCTGTAATGCAGTTGACGCTCCGTGTATCACAAAAGAAGTGGTAACTATTTTTCCTGTAAAAACGAATCGGGGTACAGAGGTCGTTTATAGAGGTCGCCGGAGTATTGAAAATGATTATGTTATTGAAAATGACTTTGTTAATGTAAATGGTTTTAGAGAGACTAAATCCACTGGCAGTGAGGCCGTGGTGGATTTATTTAAAGGGAAAGGGGTACCAACCTCTAGAAACGGGAAAAATAAGTGTGAGTTGACTGATCCACCAATAGTTTTGAGTAGTAAGGAAGATAGGGAAGATACAGGGTATCTTAACGAAAATCCTGAAACTCACCAGATTGATAATAGACTGAAACAGTTTACGAACTACACTGAGATAGAAAATAGTAATGAATTTCGCCAGTTTGCTACAGGAGGAAATGCGCAATTCTCCAATTGTGGTCATTTATCTAAAGGACCACATGTAGTAAAATTGCGTGAAAACTTGGAAATACCTGCTTTCCACGGTTGCGATTTTAATGTACCTGTAAACACCCGGGTCCCTGCAGGCATTAAAGTCTGTGAACCATTAAATCATACAGATGTCGGTATTCTTACCGCGTGTAGTGTAATAGAAATTCCTGAAAATTCAACAAAAGAAAATAGAAATATAGTAGTTCGTATTCTGAATACTTCTCCAATACCGCAGACCATTTATAAAAACACGCCCATTTTAAATTTGGTGGATGTGACTAGGCTGAAAGAATGTTCCACCGCGGATGCTCTCTGTGGAGCGGATGGAACGGATTATGTTAGTGAAAAGTTTAGTGAAATTCATACAAGTTGTTATGAAGGCCATATTGTGGAGAATATGGTTTCTCATTTAAAAGGAGGGGATAAGAGTAAGATGATGCAATTTTTACAGAGTTACTCTGATATTTTTGCAAAGGATAATACGTCATTGAAAGCTACACAAATGGTTACTCATAAGATCAATACAGGGGATCATTTGCCAATTAGACAAGCTCCGTACAGAATACCTTATGCTATGAGAGAAGAAATGGATAAACAAATAAAAGAAATGTTGGAACAAGACATAATTAGACCTTCTATATCACCGTGGAGTGCACCAGTAGTTTTAGTGGAAAAGAAAAGCCTAGATGGACAAAAGAAATTTAGATTCTGCATTGACTTCCGCAAATTGAATTCTATTACGAAACGAGACATTTTTCCAATTCCACATATCCAGGACACTATAGATTCTTTAGGAGGCGCGGAAATGTTCTCCACTCTCGATATGACGAAAGGATATTGGCAGGTAGAAGTAGAGCCAACAGATCGTGAAAAAACGGCATTTTCCGTACCTTGGGGACATTATGAATGCAACAGAATGCCTTTTGGATTAGTGAATTCACCAGCTACCTGGCAACGATTAATGATGTGTATTCTTTCCAAATTTATTGGGACACATTGCTACGTATACTTGGATGATATTATAATATTTTCATCAGGAAATATTGATAAACATATATCTCGATTAAAGGAAATTTTTGAAGCTTTAAGAGAAGCTGGATTAACGCTCAATCCAGAGAAATGTGTAATTGCCAAAGACGAAACACCTTACCTAGGTCATATAATATCTAAAAATGGAATAAGACCTTGTCCAAAGAAGACGGAGATTGTTAAAAATTATCCCAAACCGACAAATATAACAGAAATCAGATCATTTTTGGGGTTAGTTGGATACTATAGACGATTTATACCTGACTTTTCTAAATATTCCGCAGCTTTGACACACCTAACTAAGAAAAATGTTAAATTTAATTTTGATAAAAATTGTGAAGAATCCTTTGAATACTTAAAAAAAGTGCTAATAAATCAACCAATTCTTAAATATCCAGATCCAACAAAACCATTTTATTTGTCAGTAGATGCTTCTGGCTACGCGATTGGCGCGATATTACATCAAATATATGAAGGCCAAGAATATCCTGTCGCATATGCAAGCAGACAATTGAATAAAGCCGAGAAAAATTATTGCACTACTGAAAGAGAATGTTTAGCTCTATTGTGGGGTATTAAACAATATAGAAACTACCTTTGGGGACAAGAATTCACAGTTTATACAGATCACCAACCACTAAAATGGCTTATGTCAGTAAAAGATCCAAGTAATAGACTCATGCGATGGTCGTTAGCCTTATCAGAATACAGTTTCAAAATAGAATATAAGTGTGGGAAGAAACACACAAATGTAGACGCTTTATCGCGAATCAAGCCAATTAGATTAATTCATCAGGAAAATGAGTGCGAGCCTATATGGTGTAGAGACACAATTAAAAAACAACAATACGCTGATAAAAATATTAAAAGCCTTATTGAAAAAATTAATCAAGGAAAAAGGAATGATTACTACATCGACTTAGACGGATTAGTTTACAAAGTTTCTAATGACAGAACTAACAATGATATACTTTTAGCACCTAAATATTTGATACCACATATTCTACGACTTTATCATGATTTGCCTTTTTCGGGACATATGGGTTTTGATAAAACATACGCACGAATAAGAAAATTTTTCTATTGGACAAATATGACCGAAGACATTCGTCGATATATTAATGCTTGCGATCCATGCGCAAGGCGGAAAACATCCAGTCATCAAAAACCTGCCCCGCTACAGAAATTTTCCATTCCCAAATACCCTTTCTACAGAATTGCTATGGATGTGGTAGGACCTTTACCTGTTACATTACAGGGAAATAAATATATTTTAACAGTTCAAGATGCACTAACAAAATACGTGGAAGCGTTTCCTTTACCGGATCAAACAGCAGAAACAGTTGCAAAAGCTTTTATTAAAGGAATTATCCTAAGACATGGAACACCACATCAGCTTTTAACGGATTTAGGCTCTAACTTTATGTCAAAATTGATGCAAAGTGTTTGTGAGAATTTACAAATTAATCATCTCAAAACCACTGCATATAGACCGCAGACCAATGGTGCTTTAGAGAGATTTCACAGAACTCTGAAGGATTTGTTATCACATTATATTGAACCTGGACAGCGAGACTGGGACGAATGGTTACCTTTTGCCCTTGCATCGTACTGTTCAGCGACTCACAACACGACAGAAGAAAGTCCATTCTTTTTACTCTTTGGCAGAGATATGGAATATCCGTTTGACGAGATTTTTAAACCTTTAAGGGTCAAGTACAATACCGATACAAATTATGTTTCAGAATTTCTACAAAGAATGAAAATTGCCCATAAAAATGCTTTAAATAACATAGAAAGAAATACTCAGCGATACCATGATAACTTCAATAAGAAAGCAAGTCCACATAAATTTAAACTAGGTGATAAGGTTTATCTATACGAACCAGCGGATAAAGTTGGAATCAGTAAGAAATTGGCAAAGAAATGGACCGGACCATACAGAATCAGTAAACTAACAGGTGTAAATGCAGAAATTACAGAAGTTCATGGAAAACATAGGAAAAAGGTACATGTCAACCGTTTAAAATTATGTTTAGCGACGGAAGAAACTGGTAATCAATTGGCAAATATTCCTCTAAAATATCGAATTAAGGAAAATTATTTTCCTTTAGACTGTGAAAGTGAAAGTGAAGAAGAAATTGTGACGGATGAAAGTGAGGAGAATGTAGACAGAACTGATAGAATGTCGTCAGTCTTGGAAAATGAAAATACCGAAAGTAATAGAAATATAGCAGAAACGGATCCCTTGAATAGATCTTCGAATATTTCAAGAGATGGTGTTGATGATGATAACCAAATAATTGATGATCATGAAAATGATTCTATGAGGTCCTTGGATGCAGATCGAGAGGAAAATGATGATGTAGCTCAAGTTTCTATAAACATACGAAACCCGGAGCCTTTAGAACAGCAAATTCGACCTCAACGAATAAGACAGTTACCAAAAAGGTTTGAAGATTATGTTTTAGACTCCTTGGATTAGACTTAAATAGGGATAGGGTAGAAATGTTATAATAATGTTGTATTTATTGTTTTGTGGTTGTCAGTTTTTGATATTTGTATAGAGGAATATCGCTAGACGCACAAGAAATCAGCATAGATTAGGAGAACTGGATACCGAATTGTAGTCGTTGACTGACAGTATTGATATGTATTCAAATCTTAGTTTCAAATTCAAACGGTTAGGTTAAGCATATATAATTATTTTTTTTTGAATGTTTTAGATTTGAAAGAAGAGAAACATGAAAATCATAAAATTTGTTTTGATTTTTCTCTACTATTTGAGGACAGCACGCCCAGAGATTATTGCTTATGATTGCGCCGACCGAGCGACCGAATTGACAAAAGTGTCTTTGCTGGCAGTAAAACCATGCCAAGACCCTCGTAACTTTTCCGAGTCCAACTTCAGACGAATCCAGCTGGTACAAAAACGACAATATGTACCAATTCATATACTCACCTGTCAAGTTACTGTCCAACAACTCATTGATCATTGCGGCATGTATAGTCATCGCAGTACCGTAGCCGGAGGTTTTGGAAAATATATTCAGCACATAGACCCAGAACAATGTCTGAAGGCTCACCGATTCCGTCAGTTAGACCTCCAAGGAATGGGAGCTGGTGTTATTTCCAAACTTAATCTAAATGGGACCACAGAAGTTTCGGCAACTCTTCAAGGTTTTGCCGACGCCAATGGTCGATGCGAAGGTGTAAGATTCGCCGTGGGTTCCATCCAATATACTAATGTCGTAGTTACCGCAGCAATATCCATTAAACTCCAAGATTATGTTGTGATTGCCGATGTCGAACGAAATCTAGTTACCCTACGGTCTGGTGGTGTCTGTCCGTACAATGATGGTTATTGTTTTGATGATGTTGAAGGCGAAGTTACATGGCAACAACATCTATCTAGTTTATGCTCTACAAGTGGTGTCGACGTACTATACGAAGGAAACGCTACTCTCCTTGTATTAAGTCGAAACCCACCTAATAGATACGTCGTTGTGGAAACCGAAGATACAGTTTTTGCTTTAAAACTGACAAAACCAGAAGAAATTTGTGCTCAAAAGGCTTGGCTAACTGAACAAAACCGCTTACTTGTAATTTTTGAGGATTCAGTCGGATTCTATTACCATCGTACTATTCGAATTCCTCAAAATACAGACATGATGGCTCAAGTACTAAGTAAACTGTTGTATTTGGAGATTGCAGTAAAAAGACAAATGGCTGATGTCATCTACGACTCGATTATGAAGAGATGTCATTTGAGAGAAAAGATATTACAGAACAGATTAGCAATGGCAAAACAATCGCCCGACGCAGTGGGTAATCTTGTAAAAGAAACCTCAGGATATGTTAGTAGAGTGATGGGAGAAGTACTCTATATTGCTAAATGTAGAGCTGTTGTCGTAGATTATCGGAAGACTTCAGAATGTTATCAAGAACTTCCCGTTACCTATCTGAATAGATCACTATACAGAACTGCTATTACTCACATCCTAGTTGAACATGGAACCAAAGTAGAATGTCAACCACTACTTCCGGTTAATTTCAAGTTGGAAAATAACTGGTTAGAAGTAACACCTGACCTAAAGCGCACCACCGACGCTTTAGAATTAGATGCCAATGATGAAGAAGACAAACTATCAATGCCAAGTATTTCCATCTCCCCTATCAGTTCTAATGGAATTTATTCCAAGGAAGACATGGAAAGCTTCCAGCAAACTCTCCTATATCCAAATACCAGAAAAGCAGTGACTAATCAAGTTGCCAGGAGGATCATAGCGCTCGATAGCTCAGACCCTTATTACATGCCAAATCTGTTCAGCAAAACCGAATTTACCAATTTAGCACATTCCGCTGCTGAGGAAGTGTGGGGATTTTTATCCAAAATGGGAAATTTATTTTCCATTTGTGGGTTCCTATACACCATAGTTTGCGCCGTTAGTTATTTGGCCGGCGTCGTATCAAACTATTTCACCATCAAAGAAGCAACAGTTAACCATCCACGACGCCGACGATACCTTTTAGCCAGTCTGTGGAATACTTTAGCTCATACATATTTGTATCAGTTAGCCAGCCAAAGAAGAAATCGGGACGAAGAAGACCAGAAGAATGAATTGAATCCAGTGTCAGTTAATGCTACCGCCCCCCAGGAACAATCAAGCAGTTCGTTTTATCCAATACTGCCGAAGTCTACCGCGCCGTGTAGTGATCCTAACTGTAAATTGAACAACGAAAAAATTAATCCGCGTGATCCATAGTTCGCGAGTGTGTGCGCTCGTTTATTACGTATTTATAATTGTCGGGATAAGGTGTTATATCTTGGAGGTTTGGTTGGGAGTGATTATTGTTTTGAAGTGTACAAACATGCTTCGAACTTAAGGGGAGGGTAATTTGTAACAGAATTAATGTTAATTTTCAAATCTCGGTTCAAGTTTTAAGAAATAGATAAAAATTTATCTTAATGGGTTTTACAAACATATGGCGATTCTGGGAACGATATAACTAATCTGGTCGAGAATTGAGGAAAAACACTTAAAGCCAAATGTATCAAGTTTTATTAGTTTTCAAGTCGAAAATAAGCCAAATTGACAAATTTATTAGGCAAAATTATGTGTTCTCCTAGATTAACGCCAAATGTGATTCTAATCTGCAGCTGCACTAGATTACGACATATGGTTGTAATAAAGTACCCAAGAACGATATAATTCCCGTTTTATGGTCAGATAACTTATATTCGAAGCATGTATGTGTTTGGGCTAAAACAATGATCACGGAGACCCGATTTTCCAAGATATAATAACACGAAATTGTATAGAATAGGAAAATCAAAGGAGATAGTTAACTATCCAATTATTTTAGGCATAAATTAGTATTTAAGTATAGAATAATTTAATTCATTTAACACCTCAACTAGCAATTATATTTTATAATTTTTAACTCTCCGCTGCTATTTTATTCTATAATTAGTTTATTACTGCTCGTCGAATGCCATTTGTTTTATTAAAATTGCAAGCGAGATAATTAAGCTTCCAAGAAAGTATTCTGCTCTATAAGGTAGTCGTAAGAACGTTCTTGGAGCAAAAATACAAAACAGTTCGGTAACAAGTTTTAATATTGTTTTATGAACGTTTGCACAATGATTTTATATGACATTTTAGCTCACCGAACAAATCTGTTTTATATTAGATTTATATTGACGTTATCTGATACTAGTTCATTAGTTGACGTACATCTATAAAATTGTTTTATTAGCGCTATGTGAAACATTTATAAAATTAGTTTACTAATATTTTCTTGGGATATTATTGCTGTCTAAAGCATTTTACATTCAGATGGAATCTTGAGAAGAATATTATATAATTATCATGAGCTCTGTCATATTAAAGGCTGTATATAATAATTATAAAACAAAGAAACTGTTTGACTAGGTTAAAAGAAAGCATATAGAATGTAGGATTTTCCAATTAAGGGGAAAACAGTTATTGCAGTTATCGAAATTATATTTCCCATATGACTAGCGAACTCTGTTGGAGGGCTTTCAAACTATATCACTAAGGGTGCAAATAGAATGAACAATATGAGAACCAATGGGAACACGGCAAGAAACCAAAGGGTACTCTCAGCGAATCGCTGAAAGCTAAGAGGGTTGGAGATCCTCGATTCTAGCAAGCCGGGTACGGAGGGGAGCCAATGGGCTTCTAAAGTGGTACCCAGAGGGTAATTCCTTTCGCCTATTTAAGCACATGTAGAGGCCACATAACTTCAGTTATCGCTAATTCGCAACTAGTTTTTACTACGAGTGATCGCTGGAAATTTAAGTCGCAAAGTTTCAACGAGTTCTCGATCCGTTTCTCATCATCTAGTTCTGCCGCCCTGTGTTTTAGTAGAAGTTCTCCAAAGAGGTGATAGTTGTTATTTTTTTTAATTTCAATTCCAATAAAGAATCAGATTTGGGAACTAAACCTTTTAATTGGGAAATTACTCTTTGCTTTCAATTGTCTTTAATTTTCTTCAGTTAAAAATTAATTATGGTCTTAAATAAGGTAATTTTTTTTTTGTTCTTTTTTTATATTTTACTTAACCTTTTTTTTTATTATCACTAAATAATTAACACTGACTTTTCTTTTCGCTTATAAATAAATTAGTTTAATCTTTCAAAATTACTCTTTTCTTTTCTGGTTTTAAAATTCCCTCTAAAACACTGGTGGACGCGTAAAAAGTTCTTTCGTGCCGGTTTGTGCATTTGAGAAGAGAAGCAACATTGGCAATAAAAAGGTAAGTCTTCTTGAATTTATAACCCTTTGCACTAACCAAAACCGAAGAAGAAGAGAAATAAGGTTTTGTTTGGATTGCCTCCGGTTCAGAAAATTTGGTATCCCTTTTCAGAATAAATTTAATTACAACATAATTATGGTACCCACGCAAACTAAGATGTGACAGAATTATTCACGCTACCAAAATGTTTATTCTTCGTAACATCTCAAATTTTGTCACAGAATTCGCTATAAATGGCATGCGAGCAGTGCGGACACTGTGCAAACTAGAAAAGAAGTCTGTAGAGAAACAAGAATGGGATCGAGCGTGAGCCCAGGGCCGTAGCTAGAGGGGGGCATTGGGGGGCAATGCCCTATCTTTTAAATGATCATGCCCTACCTTTAAAACGCAACATGCGTTAAGGTTTCTCTAGGAAATTTGAGAGTAGTTAATGAAAAGGTCTGAAATCCATTATAAGTGCGAAGATAAGTGTTTCCGAAAACTCCTAAATGTATGTAACAATGTTTGACGTTTACACAGAGGAAGTTTTTCGTTTCGAAAGAGTGCGAATGCAAAGATAATACGATAATACACACTACTACACAGGATTGCTTATCGGCCTCATTTGTGGAAATTGCAGCCATATGGTGTAACACTAGTGATGACATCATCAACTACGTCGTCAACTGTTTTCGCCAGCGGTCGTAGTTTAGAATATACATT